ACTTTTGGAAGCGTCTTAGAAAACTAGTTAAAACTTCTCAAAACGTCTGATAAATCTATTGTAACATTTTAAGATAAGACAGTTTTTGGTTTGTACCTATAAACTTGAGTCCTATAAAGTATTTTCTAAGACCAATTCTATATTTTAGGCGTCTTATAAAAATCAATTTTGTTGTAGTGTTCTTTTCCAGATTCTGGAGTGTTACACATACAGACACACTTACAAAGGCCATATGCGACCTCCTATGCTAGCATGCATGGGTCAGGCCTAGGTCATATCAACTTCCTAATGCTCTCGGTACAGACCCCCTATGCATATGCGATATGTGGTTGTTGTTAAACCCTAGAATGGTGACCCCCATATATGCGACCCTAGGTCACATGGGATATGGGTGACTAAATCTTATCTAGGGTTTAATTTTGGTCGGTGTTCTTCAGTGGATTCTTCTTTCCAACAATTAGAAAGCATTGTGGGTGCCAAGTTTTTGAGTTTAGTCATGTGATTCTTGAGACTGCAGAAGATAAAACAAGAAAATGTTTCAACTTCTGTTGACAATAGAGCATCTCTGTTCTAGCAGACAGGAGTGAAACATAAAAAAAGTATGATGGAATTGCAATTACTATTCAACTATTAGCATAACTTCTTTATAATGAGACTGCAGGTTAGGATAAAACAAGATTAATCATATGATAACAGTGTGATAATCGATTGATGTGAAAATCGTTTGCTATTCTCTTTGTCATTAGCTTATCACATGATTATCACACCCGAATCAAATAGTCGACCCTAGTCGAACCAATAGATTGTAGTTGGCGTTCTTGTGGTAATCATGTGATTGCGAACCTAATCGAATTGAAGATATTGTAATGGAATCTACATATGAATCGTAATAGGTTAGTAATAGTGATAATCATGTGATTGTGATAACCGTATGATTGGGGCAATGGTAATCGTGTGATTGTGATAATCATCAATGGATTATCACATGATTATCACACCCAAATAGTGTGATAAACAAACCTTCATTGAATTGTCTATGCAACATTCTCCCTCAATCTTCTTGGTGTTGCTCTCTTCCTCAGTCATTGTTCGATTTCTTCCTCTATATTCTTGTTGTTCGACTTCTTGCTACATAATTGATAACACAGTGGCTCATGGTTGTTATCAATCCCAGATGATCGGAGCCTTTTCTCTAATCGTGTTTTCTAAATTTTATATGTGTGTGTGATAGAGAGATCTACATATGTGTGTATGTGCAATAACAGAAGGAAAGAGATATCTACATATATGTACATGTATGTGTACAATGTGTGATCTACGTATGTGTATGTGTGCAGTATGTGTGCAGTATGTGTATGTGTAAGAGAAGGATCTACATTGCAGGTCGAAGATGGAGAACAGAGTTGCATGTGTGTATGTGCAACCTCGATTAGTTCATTGTTTGAAACTTCCAATTCAAACCATCCCCAAGTTTTATAAGTCATGGTGGGCAATGACGATAACCTTAGTGCTGAAGGTTTTATTGAGGATTTACAAATCCAAATTCAGGGTCATAGCTTTCATTTATCGGTGAACATGTTGCCTATTACTGGGGTTGACCTAGTGTTAGGAGCATCATGGTTATCTGTTTTGGGTCCTCATATTGCCGATTTTAGTACACTCTCGAACCCATAATCATTTCATACCCTTGTTGGAAGGTAGCAACCCAATTAAGGTATGTCCCTCTAGATATGCCCATATCCATAAGAATCATATTGAGATTATGGTCCAGGACATGTTATCCCAAGGAATTATACAACCTAGTTCTAGTCCATTTTTGTCTCCGGTTCGTAAAAAAGATGTGTCTTGGCGGTTTTGTATAGATTACCGGGCATTGAACGCCATTACAATCAAAGATAGTTTTCCCATTCCTACAATGGATGAGTTAGTCGATGAATTATATGAAGCGGTTTAATTTTCCAAGTCGTACCTTCATTCGGGTTGTCATCATATCCTAATGAAACCTGAAGATCATCATTAACTTTTCACACCCATCAGGGATTGTACGAATGGCTTGTGATGCCATTCGGTCTCACCAATGCCCCCGACGACTTTTCAAGGGTTAATGAACTCGGTTTTTCGACAACAACTTCACAAGTCTATTCTGATTTCTTTGATGATATATTAGTTTATATCCCATCTTGGTCGGATCACATGATGCGTTTACCAGTGGTGTTGGAGCTATTACGGGTGCACTGTTTGTTCGTAAAAAAATCCAAAAATTCAAATAATACAATAACTAATAATTGAAATTGAATATAATAGTAAATAAACCAATCCAATTAAAGAATATTTAAACAAAATTGATCCAGGGTTCTATAAATAATTAACAAAAAATCTTGATTTAAATAGAATAAGAAAAATAACCCAACCTTATATAAAAATTAACAGAAAAAAGCTCAGATTTTAATCGTCCTCAAAAGTGAAAAATCCTAAACATATTTTACTCTTACTTATTTGTCATAATGTTTTATTCTACTCCATCAAATAAATACGTATCTGATATTGTAATTTTTTATGAGAATACATATGCATAATCACGTAATGAAAAATTAACAAGTATATTTTGAGTCTTTGTGGCTATCAAATCTATAGAGAAAAACAGAAAAATCGTAGAAGAAAAACTTACTTGAATTAGCAGTAGGTGGCGGTCGTGATAGCGTTAAGCACAACTAAAAGGCATGGTGGCCAACGACAATAAGACTGATAACATACAAGCTTACCTGTTAATAACGTGTTATAGAATAACTGACAGAAAACAATAATAGAATGGAGAGAATGAATATGTAATTCGCGTTAATCAAAAGCCCTTAAATAGAGATGAGATACAAGTAGATAGTTACGATGGATATTAGTTAGAATCGATCTCTAATATGTTTATCTTTATCTATCTCTAATTGAGTGGAGGGATTCCAAAGAGTATAAGGAAACTGGGAAATCTTAAAGTTATCAAAGCCGACAGGAACAAAAATCTTGAAGGGGAGTTGCAGGAGGAGATTGGGAATTGCAGTAATATGGTCATGTTGGGACTAGTGGAAATTAGTATCTCCGGCAAGAATGGGTTGGGGTTCACTTAAGTGGTGGTGTGGGGTCACGGTATTGGGGGGAAGTCATCAGGGAAAGACTTGATATGGAGCATACGGTGGCACGTGCCACCATATTATTTCTCTGTCGAAGGGTAAAAGAATTTAGGTTCGTGAAATGTGCAACCGTATTAATTTGTTGTGTGCCACCGTATGTATTTTGAAACTACAATGAGAACAGGTTTTATTTGATAAAGTTGGTTTGCAAGGCTTTTATTCCACCACAGACCCAAGTTCGAATCCTATTAATGTCATTTTCTTAGTCAAATGTTGCCATCATTTGAAAAAAGTTCCATATATTTGTTTTTTTATAGTCAAACGGTGCCACCGTTTGAAAAAATTTCTGGGTCCGTCCCTGGAAGTCATAGCGGCAGTATGGAGAAGGAGACAAGGAATGGACAAAGGTGGTCGGAGGAGTTAGGATGAAGATGGTGGCCGAAGGAGTTAGATGAAACCGTCTGGGGTGAGGGGCTTTTCTCCATCTGTATAGTATATGTATTGTGGGAAAGGTTCAAACGAGAACACTTTCATTTTACAAGAACACGAAAACACCATTTTACTATAGGCAATCACATGTGATACTATTATTTCATCACATATGATACACATGTTATACTAAATCAGAGACGCGGACGATTTTTGATGCGATCTTGGTTGCAGGCCAAGTCGCCCTTACACCACGAAGCTCCCTCAAAAGTATTATCACATGTGATAAGGTTGTTGTCGATATGATACTATAATCCATCAAGACCATCACATGTGATGCTAAATCATATACGCAGACAACCTTTGGCGCGACTTAAGTCGTAGAACACGTCTTCCGCACATCACAGGGTCTCTCACACGTATTTTCACATGTAATAAGGGTGTTCTTGCATTCTCGTAAAATATAGGTGTTCTCTTTTGAACCTCCACCATTGTATATGTATATATAATATCAAATATCATATCATATTATCTTTTTGATTATCTAATAATTAATAAATAAAAACAAAGCAGAAAAAGACAAAACTAGGTAAAAGGACAAAAATGTCCCTTACTTAACTGACAAATTAAACGAAGTTAGTGATTAAGGACGATCTTCAAAGCACAATATAAACAACATCGATGATAAATTGTAGTTATTGAAGTCTATGAACCACTTTCGTAGACAGGTGTAAAAACCACAAGAACGAAAATTTTGAGGAACAAACTTTTAAAACCTGTCATTTTAGCGAACTAAAATAAAACAGAAAAATCTTTATTTTCATTCTTATTTTAAGAAATAGGAATTTGATCGATAATCATTTCATGTCAAACACTGGTGTTACGAAATTCGACTCGTTAAGTTAAATGAGACTTATTTTGTATTTGAAATCAACTCAAACTTAATAATTACTAAGCTTGAATAGCTCGTTAAAACACTTGAATTATCAACATCCTTGATTTTTAAATTACGTTAAATAATATATATTATCAACATAAACATACCGAATCTAGATATATATTAAGACCAGAAATACATTTATCTCGTAGCGAATATAATCATTACAGAACCGAATATAAAAGAATTATTGTACGTTCTTTCGGCTTGGTATCTAATTAAAGAAAAACCCGAAAACCCCACAACATCTATCGTCTCGAGTTTATCCAAAGATGCATTATTTACGTGTATCACACGAAGTAATTATCGTATTTAAGATAATATCGAAATAAATTTCGGAGTATTTAAAAGATTAGTTGTATTTAGTCAAAGTATACATACATACATATACATACATTCGTCTGAAGTGATTTATTGCAATAAAGTTATAAGGTGATGGCCATATAAACAACCTCCCCCTTTAGCTTCCTTACGGACCACGTTTCTCTGTCTTTCCGCCATTGATGAACCAGTATTTAAGGGCTTGGAGTCCTCCATTTTCATCTTTTTTCTTGAAACATCCCAGTCTTTCAGGTTACACTTCCATAACTTTGAATACCAATCCACCCCTTTATATATATACATACACACTCCCATTTATGTGAACCTTTATCAGATTTAGCTCTCTTTTTTCTCTCTCTAACACTTAATTAAAGAGCCCATTTGCTATTTTCGTGTATTTGTGATTAAAGTTGCAGGTTTTATCGAAAAAGTTGTGAACTTTTTGAGTTGAAAAAGGGGGGTTTCAGGTTTGGATTTTAGATGATGGAGGATTTCTGTATCTCTGGGGTTGTAAAGGAAGATGATCAGATGGATTTGCCACCTGGGTTTCGATTTCATCCTACTGATGAAGAATTGATCACCCATTATTTATCGAATAAAGTTGTTGACTGCAAGTTCTCAGCTCGAGCAATCGGAGAAGTTGATATGAACAGGATTGAGCCATGGGAGCTGCCAAGTGAGTTCTCAGTTTCTGTTTCTTTTTTGATGTTCTGTTTGTTGAAAAGCTCTGATCTTTTTTGGGTTTTTTGTGGTGTCGATTTTGAATGAAGGGTTGGCGAAAATGGGTGAAAAAGAATGGTATTTCTTCTGTGTTAGGGATAAGAAATATCCCACCGGAATGAGGACGAACAGAGCAACTGCCGGTGGGTATTGGAAAGCTACCGGAAAAGATAAGGAGATTTTCCGGCGAAAGTTGCTGGTCGGAATGAAGAAAACCTTGGTTTTCTACAAGGGAAGAGCTCCAAAAGGGGAAAAAACGAACTGGGTTGTTCATGAATATAGATTAGAAGGTAAATCCGGCCAAAAACTATCGAGATCAACAAAGGTAAATCGGTTCTTGAATCTTGATTTCGTCCCCTGTTTTTGTTATCATCATACTGATCTTTATTTGTTTATGTAAAATGATAGAATGAGTGGGTGATTTGTCGTGTGTTTCACAAGAACTCCGGCGGAAATAAAGTCCAAATTTCAGGGTTGACGAGGATGAATTCCGGTGGCAATGAACTGCTTCCGGCTTCTTTGCCACCATTGATGGACTCTCCGGTGGCGGCATCCGGCGGCAAGATATCAAAACCGACCTTATCGGAACCACTTCATGTGCCCTGCTTCTCCAATCCGATCGATATCCAAAAGAAATCCATGATCAACGGGTATCTCAAGACTGCTGATTTCACTTTCGCTTCAAACTTGGACCACTGGAGGATCAGAAACCTGTGTTCCACCGGCGAATCTGTTCATCAAATCAAAACCAACTTCCAGTTCCCACAAAGCTCGACATTTCCGGCCAACGATCAAGCACTAATGAGAGGCTTGATAGAGAATTACGGTCAAAACATGAAACTGGAACGAGATATGGTTACAGGTTCGCAAGATACAGGGCTGAGCACCGAGATGAACACCGAAATCTCATCAGTCATGTCGAATCTTGAAATGGGTACGAGGAGATTTGAAGAACAAGAAACCCCATTAACATCAATCGGAGCAATTGATATGGATTGCTTTTGGAATTACTGAAATTCATCTGATAATTAATTACAAGAATTACCAAAAGAAGACGAAGATGATGACAGAAACTCATGATCTTCTTGAAAAAGATTGATTACGCCAAGAATTTTCTGATGCTTGAGTAGAATAAAGGCTTTATATTTCAGATTAATTAATAGATGGCTTAATTATATATCAGTATGTGGTCTGTATGATATTATTCAAATGTAATGACATATGAGAGATTGAGTTGGTGGCTTAACTCAACTTTCTGTTGTATTTTTGAACTTTTATTATTGGAATGCAGTGAGCGCTTACCAAGTCACATTACTTTACCGGATGAATATGGTAAGAACTAAAAATCTTACTCGGTAAGTGAGAACGAGGGTTCTTATCATAGTTAACGTTTACCGGGATAAATCATTGCATACGATGTGTTTTAGTGAATAAAATCTTATCTGGTAAGTAAGCCATAGTGTTGAATTTTACACGTAAATGTTTACCGGGTAAGTGTTTAGGTAAACGGCCCTTGAATTTACAGTATTGTAGTTTTATAAATGAATATATTTAGTTGATGGTATGTTATACATGAAACTGAATACTGTTATTAGTTTTGTAGCAATTACAGAAAAATCATAAGGTATCCATCTTCTTGACCGGCAACAGTCTGATCACAATAAGAAGAAGAAAAAACATTAGACTACGTTAAAAGTAGAATAAGATGCTTACTGTAACGTTCATGTGTTCGTCATCCATACATAACCAATTTATGATCAAATGGGTTCTTCTAAACGTTTATAATTAGTTCTGTTACGTATCAGTTCACGACATTTTTAGTAAGTTCTACACGAATCTTCATTTACATCCTTTTCTCCTCGATTTCCAGTTATGTATATGAAATAAATTTGATCTGATTTTCATCTCAATTATTTTCACTCAAATTCATGTGCATTACATTTTCATGATTAAGGGATTTGAATATCTGATCGGAACAATTTGTTTTTTTGATTAACATGAATATGTAACCTGCTATACGAGCTGAATAATCCTAGGGCGACCACCTGTTTTGCAGATAGTCCGGAGTTACCGTATTTGAACCTCTGTGGCCACAAGGGGATTTTTATTCCTCCTTGGATTTGAACCTGAGACCTCCTGGTACTTTTGACATTTGGAGTCAAACTCAAACCAATCAGGCACCACCCTTGTTTGTCATTAATAAAATGATTTCTATTTCGAAAAACCATGTTTCAATACTTTAAAAACAATGTCCATTTAACGTTCTATAATTTGAAAAGAAAAAAAAAAGCATTTCAAACAATATACTTTTAAAAATGGGTAACGTTAACGTCAGTTTTATGTGTTAAAATAGACCAGTTTTAAGATTTTAGACGACGAAATAAAAATTTACGATTAAAAAACGAATAAAATTGTATTTTAGCCTCTCATGCAAACACTTTGTAAAAGTTTGAAGTTGGTAACTAAAGCTTTCAAAGGTTCCAAAGATGGAAAGAATGAGTCCTCTACGCAATAAGCCTAATACTTATCATGAAATGTGGGGGTTTGACCACTTGTTCATGCCTCCTTTTTACTCATTTTCTTTAATATTTTTTTTTATTATTAACCTAGATATCCAACCCGCTATTATACAAGCCCACTAATCCCAGGACAACCACCTGTTTTGCAGATAGCCCGGAGTCACCGCATCTGAACCTCCGTGGCCACAAAGGGGATTTTTATTCCTCCTTGGATTTGAGTCTGGGACCTCCTAGTACTTTTGACCTTTAAAACCAAGCTCAAACCAATCAGACGCTACCCTTGTGGGTTTTTCTTTAATAAATTTCATTACAATTTACATTGATTTTGAATATTACTATTGATTTGTTGAAAAAGATAAATATAATTTACATTGATTTTGAATATTACTATTGATTTGTTGAAAAAGATAAATATATTCAAAGATAACAAGGTTTGTCTTCTTTGAGCGAGATCTCGTAAAATTGTTAGAACTTTGAGAACCGGTGTATTATGTATTATTTCATATGATTTTTCCATCCAAGCCTATGATTTGGGATTTTAATTTTTATCATATATTTGTTTACAGTGTGTTTGTTTCACATATATTTGGCATTTTTCAAATGAAGTCATATTATTTATATCTCCAAAGTACTTTATAACATAATAATGTGTACTTTTGAAATGGCTTATAAAACCAAAGGCACATTGTAATAAATCATCAAAATGACACACTGTCAAGATTTATTTATCAAAGTGTCCAAAAACCCCAAGTATGAGTATCTCACGAGATTTATAAAATAAAATATATGAAAAACTCATCAAATAACTCATACATTTGATAAATATCAAGTGAAACACATTAATACTTCAAAATGCACATTTTTGACATATACACAGTTTTTACGAAACAACTTGAACTCAACTTGCTAAATTTATGTTAAATCTAGATTCCCAAACCAAACCTTGAGCTTCCCATGAAGAAAAATTGAGATCTACAAACAAATTCTCAAATCCTAGCTCTGAAGCTTCTTAAAAGATCTTCTCCACCTCAACGAACTCAAAATCTAAGACAAGGATGGAAGAAAATGTGTGGAGATAAAAAAAAACACTCATTTTGTTTGAAAAGCGTCAAAAACCAGGACCATAGCATCCAAAATCTCCCAAAAAGAACTTGAAATGGAGAAGATAGGGTAAAATGAAGAAACTTCAAGAAAATCGGATTTTAAACCAACCAGTTGCAATCCCGCGACCGAGCCCATGACTTAAGGCTAGTCGCCCACGTCTTCCAGCCCCACAAACTGTGCGTCACACGACCTGGGCGGCGACCTAGGTCGCGCTAAGTCACGCCAACCCCAATTTTGTGCGTTTTCGTCGTTTTCAATGCCGATTAGAACCCTAAACTTTTCAACGTTATTGTTACCTAAAATCTTATTAAACCTCCATCCTATTTGTTGAGCGAAAAGGGTAATTGATCACAAATGAAAATCCTAATATCGTGGGTGGTACACGATATACGAGGTTCTCATTTGATTAATCCTTTATATTTTTTTAGTGTAGAAATGAGTTTTTTTTTCAATAATGTAACAAACATTCAAATCGTCATATTTTGATACCAATTTACCTAACAATCAGATAAAACCTTATATGACATCAAGTTTTTGCTGAGCTAACAACTGTTATTTAAATAAATTACTATGAGAGATTATAAATCAGCTATATTATTTGATAATGTAGAAGTTTAATTCACTTTGAAAGACTTTTGCATACGGACTTTTCTCTGGGAAATCTGTCACTATAGGTTATTCGTCACAAAAGTTGGTGGGTAATTCATATAAGTGACAGATTACCCAGGGATTCTCTGGATGATCCATTGGTATTTTCTCGAAAAAACATCGGGTTCTACTGAACTATGAGTACTTTCTGGGTGATCCGTCAATAATCACAAATGGAAGTTTCCCTGTGTGATTTTTATGGATAAAAGTCATTTGTTTTGTAGTGATTTAATCTTTTTAGTTATCCTCCTCCTTCAACATGTTTTAGATTATCGTTTCTTCTCCTAATCAACCATCGAACCCCCTCACATTCTCTTCAAACCCAAACCCACCATCAAACTCCCTCGCATTCTCTTCGAATCATGAGAAGCTTCTTCTGCCAAACCCAAGTCACTCCACCATTTCAACCTGATCGTCGTCAACCTTGGTCGCCAAATGGTGATGCTCGATCTAGAGGTCTGATTAAACGTACTGAACGTTTAGAGGCATGTTTGCCATTTTCTCAATTCTGTTGTAGGGTGCATCGCGGAGATGTCTTTGATATATGTAACACATCTACATACGAGAAAGTTCAGTTGTGAACATGTTTTTCATTGTGAAAAGGAAAGCGCCACATGTGTTTCTATTCATCAAGAATAATAAACGTGAACTTTATGCATTCATAATGAATATTCAGGACAAATGACACACTCGCATTTATCATCAGTTCACAAACGAAGTTACGTTTGCAACCGAACCTCTTCATATAAAATATTATACCTTCTTAAATCTCTTCCAAGTAGTGTGACATAGGTACATGTACAAATTCATTAAATATAGACATGAACGTCATTTTTGAATATCTCCGTCTTAGGCTCCATCCCTTTTATCTAAAAAGATAAAATATTGATGTAGAAACAACTTATTGACTTATCCCGGTGTGGCGTTGATAATAAGAATCTTTGAGTGTTTGGATAAACAACTTATACCGGTGTCAAACCGGTAATAAGGAGTTTTTAAAGAAGTTAAACAATTCTAACTTATAATAAGTTGATAAGTGCTTTTGTAGAAAAATATAAATTGTTTCAAATAAGCAATCCCAAACACCTCCAAAATTGTATATCTTAAATAACTGAAAATTTATTTGAATTCTACCACTACCCATATTTTGTGACCAAACTAATTTGAATGACGAATTTATTGTTCATAAAAAATGTCTGAATATAGTCAGTCAAATAGGTTGAAGTTTTATATATATCGATTATATAAGTTGTATCATATTATTATATATTTAATAATTTAATAAAATATACTGAAAATAATGTGTCACTTTTTCATACTTATATGCATATACATTTTTTAAACAGTGGTGTTGTTTTCAATGTAAATCAATAGAATATTTTAGTTGGTTTTAAATTAATTTAAATCGCATTTATTAGGTTGGAATTGGATTAGAGTCATTTGAACTCAATCTAACTAAATGAACCTGATGTTTTTTTATACTATGGATTTAATATGTCTCTTAGTGGCTGTTCGGTTGTGGCTTATTGGGCTATATAACCCATATAGTTTATTCGTTCAACTATAAATGATTGTTCGGTTATGGCTTAATCTGGAAATCAATAGCTTATTTGGACAGCTTGAGAATGACACTTGTCTACATTCAGCCAAACTTTTTACTTAAATACTCTTCTTTTAACAAACAATCTCATCCTCAATAACATCTAAAATCCCACCAACAATTAAAGATTTGATACTTGACTTTAATTTTAGATTTGAAAAAATATTAGGGCTTGATATTTTTGAGAATGAAATTGTTCTAGTTTGGGTTTGATAGGACTTGGTAAATTGTTTTTATCAAAAAAAAAAAAAAAAAACTTTGAATTGATATTTTTTAACCATTCAAAGTCAAATATTCAACATTTTTATCAAACAAATGATTTAATAGTGTTTAATATAGGTTGGGGGTAAAATGATCATTTTTGACATTCGGACTGTTTATTCAGCACAACGACCAAACAACAACTTATCTGCTAATATACATACAACTATATTAATACAGACAACTATATCCATACAAGTTTTAACAGAAAACGAACCGAACAACCTCTTAGACATTAGACCAACCCGTA